CGTCCCACTTATGTTCAGCAATACTATGCTTCATAGCAGACCAAACTGAGGAATCTTGTAAGCGCTGGCCTGACACCTATGGCGGTGCCCTTATAATTCATGCAAGAAAAGCTTCCTAGATAAGCCTTGCTATAAGAGTCAAGCATACCCTAAATTAACTATTTGGTACCCATGGGACCCAAAATGGGCTTCTGGTGTTGATGGTAAATTTTATTCTTGGGGTTTTGCCAAGCACCCCTCAACCTCTATCATAAAGTCTCCTCACATTTAAGACTCGGCCACTAGAGATACGCTTACCCTCCCCTTCCTCTCTCCAGCCCTGGGAGTCTCTGGCCCCTCCAGAAGGGGTCCCGAAAAACCTTGGCCAGGTCTTCCGTGACTCTGGCCCCATCCAGGTTGGGAGCCTCGACTGCCAGGATTTGGTGACAACCAATCTTTGCAGCTCAACTGCCTGATTTTTGGCTCTAGCAGGGATGCCCCTTTTACCAATAAATCAGTTCCTTCCCCCTCTCCCTTATACTACATTTGCAACATGGGTAATGCGTCCTCTCTGCTGGTTGACTCTCCCTTACAATGCCTTTTAGACAACCTCAAAACCCTCTCCTTGACACCAGGCATCAATATACAAGTGTTCCCTCAAATTCACATAACCATCCAGGAGCAAGAGAAGGAACTCCAACACCAACTGGATGCAGTTGCCCATCCTAAAGCTGACCCTTTCTCACAGATGGCCCTAATACTTCAGGGCCTTCAGCTTCTCAATCCAAAGTTAATAACATTTCAGACTGTTTCCTCTGCACAAGTTTGGATCGTATTCTGTTAGTTAATTCCCACTGAGGAAGTACTTTTTTGTAACTCATCAGGGAATTTCCCTTGCTGCTACACTGCCTCTGGTTCAGCACCCTGTGACCAGATTGTTCGAATTTCTTCCCCAAACTTTGCTCTGCCAGGGTTCTTTTTCTAGTGCAATGGTACGCTAACAAAAATCTAAGCCTCAACATGCCCTTTGCTTTTTGTGTTCCTTCCACTATGCTCCCTCAATTAAATCTGTACAGTGAGGCTGAATTAACATGGCTTGTTACTACCTCTCTTTCCAGGAAAAGAAGGGCCGTCTTTCTATCCTTTAAAGCTCCACATTTCACGCCTGAGGGTTTCTTCCCCGCTTCCCAAGGAAGACTTTCCTCAACCCAAGAAACCCTCACAACAACATGCCTCACTCTAGTTCCACCCGTCTCTTTGCCACCCTCCTAGCATCCACTTCCCTCACCCCTACTTCGTCTGCTTCATCAGACATCCAAGATTGCCCCAATAATTGGGATTTTCTTGTTCGTGCCTTTCTACCATGTATCATAAATTCCTGCAGAATCAAATAGGCAAAATATCTAATCAGACCTTTAACCAGCTTCTCCTCGAGGATTACCAGCTACTTGCTACCTCAGCGGACACTTGTCCCTTACGTGAAGGCCTCACCAACGGCTGACGGCACTTCACCATCGTGGATATGGAGCTACAAAATGGAAACACGACTGGGGAAATTCACTATCCTGTCACCCAGAGTTTCTAGGCCCATTTGCATTCGTGTGCCTCCTCCTGACTGCTGGTCTTTTCTCAGCCAGTCCCTCTCACTAGACCTCTGGCCAGAAGCTCCTCTTCCTTCTTCTTGCCTTCAGCGACAAGGATTGGACCGAGACTATCCATGACCTATGGCTTCGAGGAACTTTCATCGATCAGCCCCAAGGAAATTCACATCTTCAGTGCCCTGGCCTTTACAGCTATGCTTCTTTTGTCCCTGTACCCTGACCACTCATCCCTTCCTTCACACTCTTTGTCCCTCTCTAGCAGGAAGCAGCCAGAGGATCTCACTGCCCTGCTCCCAACATAAAAACAAAAAGGATGAAATGTTGGGTGTGTGGGAGACTCCCTGCTGAAGTTAAGTTTCCATCTCAGAGAGAACATCACAGAATCCCTTACCCCTCCTCCTCCTCTCTGAAGAGTGCCAAATTCAAAGGTTTCCTTGACCAATCCCCACAAGATACAGTGTCCGCTCAATGTTCCTGAGTCACCCTTGGAATATCTGCTGATTGTGAGATATTGTTTCTGCTTCCATGACTATGCACACATTATAGCCCATCCAGAAGGCCTCTTCTATGCTTTTCAATACTTAACCTGCTCATCTTTCAAGGTTCCAAAAGAAGTTACCTGTTGTGAAGTCTCCCTCAATTCCTGGCAATCAGCACTTGCTGCGTCCCTATGCAACCCTTCTTCAGCCTAAGCTTGTAAGCACACGCCCTCTGCACTCTTCCTCTTCTTTCTCTCCTTTCTCTTTCTCTTTGCCCTCCTCCTCTCCTCTTTGCCTCTCCTTTTCTTCCCCTTTGGGCAGCCCCCCAATAAAATCTCCTTCTTGGGTGAGTCACTCGCCTTTCAGGTGTTTCCTTATAGCTTCTTAGTTTCTACAATGAACTCAGTCAAGAACTTGAGTGACAAATAGTAACAGTATTCATAACTCCAAATAAAATAGAAAGAAGACAAGAGGTACAGTACGGCATGGAATACAAATGTGTGCAATGACAATTATCAACAATTTCAAAATTGACAAATTATCAACAATTTAAAAAAAATTTTGAAATTATTGATCTCAACAATTTCAAAATCTAAAAGGTTGTGAAAACAAAAGCTTTTTTGTGTAAGTCCTAGTGGGAAGAACATGATCTGAACTATGTTGATAACACCTAAGACTCCTTCTCCACTGATGGTTACTACTCATATCTTAAGTTCCACAACTAATAACTCACTTGGTTAGAAACTGCTGCCCAGATTCCTGGGGTGTTATTTACAGACATTACACTACGTTGATGTTCTAAATGGTTTGTTACATTGTACATCAATGCACATGTTGCTATTCTAAAATATGAAAGTTTTCAAAGCACAGCTAGCCTGAAGATCAATATAAAAGAAATGCAGACCTATATAAACACCAATTTTTACCCAACTTGATTAATAATGCAAAATTGTATTTATCTGAAAAGATTCTATTTGACTCAAGCATTAAATATATAAGCACCAATAATAAATAAGGATGGTTTTATATGCTATTTATATGCAAATGCTCGTACTTCAGCATTCTGAAATATGACTCAGTCCAACCACTTTATAGAGACATCTTATGCTACCTACCAGGTAAATAACATATACTGCTATTACATGGCTCAGGAGACTAATACTTTGAAATCCCAATCAAAGACTCTGAGGTCTTCTTGATAAGATGCCACCAAACTAGGTAAAAACCTACTTGTGCCAGTAATTTTAACCAGTTTTTGTGATATTAGGCAGAATTAAAGTAATATCACACACTGCCTACTAGATGTATAAAGTTTCCCAACACAAATGCAAATTAGTTTTCACATAGTTCTAATAAGTTTATTCATGCTGAGGGGAGTCCACTAATCTTCAGACATTCTAAAGTGCTTTCTGAAGAAAATGAGTATGGTTTTCATACAAATGATATAAACAAAATTAAAGAAGGATTATATCTAGCACAGATTAAAAATACTTCATGCAGTTATTTCTCTTTGTCATTTACTTCTACTATACTTTGAAGCATTACAAATCCCCATGATGTCTCTTTAGATTATACTTTGCATTTAAATTTTTTATCTTTCTATTAATTTAAATTCACAAGCTCAAAGTTTGAACTAAGCAGAAATACTATGAACAACTATCTAAGATTTAAAGGAAAACTTTCTTTTGTTTCTTTAAAAGAGTTAAAAATCAAGAAACTTTCTTTAATGATTTATTCATTCAGTTCCATAGATGTATTACTATATATACTTTTTTCCTTTAGATTTATAATATATAACTTCAAATATGTTCAATTTCTATAAAAGTCAGGTCAACATTTTTTTTCAACATTTAGGATTCTGAATTTTAGAATATCTGCTGATTGTGAGATATTGTTTCTGCTTCCGTGACTATGCACACATTATAGCCCATCCAGAAGGCCTCTTCTATGCTTTTCAATACTTAACCTGCTTATCTTTCAAGGTTCCGAAAGAAGTTACCTGTTGTGAAGCTTCCCTCAATTCCTCTAAATAATTATACTGCTTTTCTTCTTTGCTCCCATTATACTTCTTTCATAGTGACAATTACACTGCAATTATTTTTCTCATTTAACCACTCACAGGATAATAGGCCCATAAGATACAAGAATGAGGAGATATTCTTTGTTTCTGTGTCAAAACTTCATACCAACTGTCTCTCTCAATAAACATCTGAATGAATGAATGAATGATCAACAGAGTTAGATTCCATTATGAGGTTCATGATCTCCTCCAATATGACATCTGGTAAGGAAGAAAAATTGTAGGAAATGCTAGTCTCTTGAAAGGCAGAAGAACTGAAGCAGACAGTCTTTAAAACAGAAGGCAGAATTAACAATTAACCCCAGATGGGCTGTGCATATTAAATTAAGATGAGATGTTGTTAGATATTAAAAGCTACACAGAAAGGGCAGCCATGGTAACTTGCTTTATTTCAAGTTTCCTCTCACTATCACATCCTAAAGCATTCTAACAGACAATTTTGAGTCAATGGTATAGGTTACAGAACAAGAGAATTTTGCAAGAAGATATAAAATTATTTTAGAATACTCTAGATCAGTGTTTCTCAATCTTCATGTACACAGAATCCCATTAGGATCCTTGTTAAAAATATAAATGATCATGTTCAGTAGGTCTAGTTGGGGTCTGAGATTCTGCATACCTATCAAGCTCCCAGAGGAAGTCTGATGCCAATCCATGGGACACACTTTAAAGGGCATTTTTAGAATAAGAGACATTTTCCTTCAAAGTCCATGTTAGACTTGTCTTGGGTTTTAACTGTTAAACCCTTATCAATAATCCTTGCTATAAGCTGTCTTAATGGTATTCATTATATAAATCATCACTGAAAATTCCACTAAACGAAATACATATTACTGAAAAGCTTTTAAATTTCTTTCTTACCTATACTCTGGTAATGCCATCGAAAGAAAATTCGCTCAGGTAGAAACTGCAGTATTTTCTATAAAATAAAAAAATAAAGTATAAAGAAAATAAACCATGAAATTTTGTATTCTTGTGTTAAGCCTATATTACCTGCTATTTTTAAGTTTCAGAAAAGAAAAGGAAAAGTATTTAACATAAATATTGCACTTTATTACATATTTCTATGGGAGTTTCTTTTACTTGCCCTAGGCAAGTTTCTTTCTCTGAATGTTTTAAGAGACTATTATCCCAAGTTTAACTCCCCAACAAGGTCAAAGAAAAAAACTTAATCACTCTGTCTTTATTAAATGACAGTCATAGCTTAAATATTAAAAGAATATTTTCCCAAATGACAGAATTCCCAGGTTTCTTCTTTTTCACCTTCTCCTTCTCATTTTCATCATAATTATCATTAGTCAAAAACAGAGCTGGGAAGAAAGAGGAACAAAAAGAAGATAAAAAAAATTCAGTAGGAAAAAAACCCTGAAACTGGTGGCAAGAATTTCATGATATTAACAGCATAAAAATAAGTCTTAGCATCATAGTTACGCATGTCCTCATTGGTAGATAAAGAAAAAAAAAATCTATGATATACACAATTATTTGGCCATTAAAAGTAGCTCCCCATTCCCCCAAAATCCCTAACTAATGAGAATAACTTTTTCCCTCATTCCACAACAAATTTTGTCAAATTACTCTAGGGTAATAAAAGTCCTTGTTCTTTAGCTGTAACTACTTTTCTAAAAAATATAGAAAATCCAAAACTGGTCAAAATACCTTCCTTGGTATTGATAATACATTTCTATTTTACTCTGAAATTAGTAAAGAAAACTAAAAAAGGTACACTCGTACACTTCTGGTGGGACTGCAAATTGGTGCAACCACTCTGAAAGCAGAATGGAGACTCCTCAGAAAACTTAGAATGGAACCACCTTTTGACCCAGTTATCCCACTCCTTGTCATATAACCAAAGGACTTAAAATCAATGTACTGACCACATCAATGTTTATAGCAGCTCAATTCACAATAGCTAAGCTATGGAACCAATCTAGGTGCCCTTCAACAGACGAGTGGATAAAGAAAATGTGGAACAATGGAATATTACTTGGCCATAAAGAAGAATGAAATTATGGCATTTGCCAGTATATGGATGAAACCGGAGACTATCATGCTAAATGAAATAAGCCAATCCCAAAAAAAACAAAGGCCAAATTTTCTGATATGTGGATGCTAACATACAACAAGCGGAAGAGTAGGAAGAACATTAAGTTCAATAGACAGACAAAGGGGAAGAACGGGAAGGGAGGAGTGATAGGAACAGGAAAGATAGTAGAATAACTGGACGTAACTTTCCTATGTTCTTATATGAATACACAATTAGTGTAACTCCACATCATATACAACCACAAAAATGGAAAATTATACTCCATGAATGTATATGTCAAAATACATTCTGTCATTATAACTAAAAAGAACAAATAAAAAAGAAAAAAGAAAGAAAATCTCCCTTCTAGGTTTAACTAGCCTACTATTCTAACAGATCAAAAAATAATGTGATATAATATCCAGATCTCCTGGGTAAGTATGTTTTTAGGTAGGTAATGAACCGCTTTCTCCCTTTCAGCCAGCTTGAGTTTTTGTTTTGTTTCCTTGTTTGTCCAAGTGGGTCAGTTAAAATATGACACACCTATTTGTTTCATTTGTTCCCAATGAACACCGAAGGAATATATACAAACTTCTGAGAAAAGCCTCAACAGGCAAATTTCTATCAAACATAAGTGAATATAAATAACAGGGACTTTTCTTTTATCCTGTACCACTTTTCCACTCACATCCCTACACAGGTGATATCTCCTTGCCATTCAAGTCTCACTTCAAGTGTCACCTCCTCATGAGGCTTTTCTGAGAACTCTATCTAGTGGAGCCTGGCCCTGTTCCCACACCTCCAGGGCTTTCTCCTTTATCTGTCCTGTCCTCTTCATAGTCCTCCTCCTTAGGTGAAAGGATCATACTGATTTACCCATTTTAAGACCACATGCCCTCCACCAAAAGTGTAATAAGCTCCAAGAGAACAACACTTTTGTTGTTCCCTGATGCATTGCCAGCACCTAGAGGATCTCTGACTGGTATACAGGCATACTCAGTGAATGCTCAGGAAATAAATTTTGAATTCTTTTTTCTTATGAAATATTAAAATTTGTAGGTAATCAAACCTATGTTCACATCAACATGGCATGTGTCCCATCTTTCTTTAAATATCATTGAGTTAAGGACATTTAACTCTAAAATTAGTAAAGAAAACTAAAAAATAAAGCTGTAAATTTAAAACAACTGCTCTTCCAAGATGATAGACATAAAATATAAATGTCCTTAGTTACATAACTTGTTATAAATTCTTCCCATCTATAAAGGTAAAAATGCAATACAAACCATATCAAAGATTATTTCTGATTATATAAAGCAGTAAACAGCTGATCACATACTGAAAAATCACTAAGAAGTTCTCTCCGTTCTCTTTTTTGAATGGGAAAGCCTTCATTTAGACTGTCTTTAGAACATTTTGGTTTTTATTTCTTACTATTTCAAAATTAATTTATTTTTAATTTAAATTTGCTATTAATCAACAACCATTGTATTTATTGGGTCACAAGGTGGTGTGCTTTTTCATTTATTTATTTGTTTGTTTTTGCAGTACTAGGGACTGAATTCAGGTTCTTGCACATGCTAGGCAAATGCTTTACCATTTAGCTACATATCCTCCCCTCAAAGTGATATGCTGATGTACGGACATTTTGTGGAATGATTGCAACAAGCTAATTAAATATCCATCACCTCACATACTTGTTATTTGTGTTGACAACACTTAATATATATTCTATTAGTAATTTGAAATATAAAATGCATTACTATTAAGTATGATCACCATGCTCAAATCATATTCTTCCTGTTTAATTGAAACTTCAAACCCTTTGAACAATAAGTCTCCTTTCTCTACCCATCCCCTATCCCCGAGTCTCTAAAAAACTGCCATTCTATTCTCTGCTTTTTTCAGTTTGACTTTATTAGATTCTATAAATAGGAGAGATCCTTTGGTATTTGTCTGGAAGTACAAACATAAAACAAACGCAAATAAAAATGCCTAGTCTCACAATTGTTAGGCAAGAGAGAAAATACCATTCACAAAACAAAGCAAAAAGCCTTGACAGAAATTTCTAAGAGGTAATACAGAAGTGAGGGCAAAGTGCCTCATCTCAGAAGGGCTTCATGAACTGTTTCCTGGAAGAAAGCAGCGGAGACTTAGAGGATGAATCATCTTAGCCTACTGGAGAATAGGGATAGAGGAAGAGAATTGGAAGTGACAAAAGGCAAAAAACCCTGAGTGTCTTAAAGTAACAGTATCATCTCACTCCAATCAGAATGGTAGCTATGGCATGTGTCCCATCTTTCTTTAAATATGAGAATGTGGGGGAAAAGGCACACTCATACACTGCTGGTGGGACTGCAAATTGGTGCAGCCAATGTGGAAAGCAGTATGGAGATTCTTTGGAAAACTGGAAATGGAACTACCATTTGACCCAGCTATCCCTCTCCTCAGACTATATCCAAAGGACTTAAAAACAGCATACTACAGGCACACAGCCACAATGATGTTTACTGCAGCACAATTCACAATAGCTAAACTGTGGAACCAACCTAGATGCCCTTCAGTAGTTGAATGGATAAAAAAAATGTGGCATATATACACTGAATATTACTCAGCAATAAAAGAGAATAAAATCATGGTATTTGCAGGTAAATGGATGGAGTTGAAGAAGATAATGCTAAGTGAAGTTAGCCAATCCCCCCAAAAAACAAATGCCAAATGTTTTCTCTGATATAAGGTGACTAACTCATAGTGGGGTAGGGAGAGGGAACAAGGGAGGAATAGACGAACTCTAGATAGGGCAGACGAGTGGAGGGGAAGGGAGGAGGCAGGGGGTTAGCAATGATGGTGGAATGTGATGGACATTATTATCCAAAGTACATGTATGAAGATACAAATTGGTGTGAACACACTTTATATACAGAGATATGAAAAATTGTGCTCTATATGTGTAATAAGAATTGTAATGCATTCCCCTTTCATGTATTTAAAAAATAAAATCAATAAAAAAAGTAACAAGAGCAGTAGGAGGGTCAGTGTGGCTGATGGATGAGTGAGGAGGTAAGGAGATGGCATTAGGAAGGCAGGTGAAGCTGCAGGTTAATATTCTCATGGGAGCAGTGCAGCGTCCCTTAAAGGGTTCCAGCTGGAGGTAAATTTGAGATGGATGAGAAGAGAAGCAGAGATATCAATGAAGAAGCAATGGTAGTATTTCAGAGGAGAATGAAATGGTCTGTACCATGGTCAGCAAGATAAAGAGAGGCATATAATTAATAGTGATATTAGGAGGTAAAATTGTTAGCATGGCAGATAGAGTGGTTTGGGTAAATTGAAGATTAAGAATTACTCCCACGGTATGATAAAAGGCAATGCTTTAATTCAAGACATCAAGTCCAAAAGGAATCTAATACTTGAGGAGAATAAGCATGTCAAATTAAAGCATCCTAGAACTGGGCACCAATGGATCTTAATGTAGTCTCTCCTCTAGGTAACTGGAGGGTCTGGAGGACAGGAGCAGAATGTGATGTCAATGGGGCTAAGTTACTGGCTAAAAATTGTGTATAAATGAAAGTCACTGGGAGAGAGCTTAAAATGAGAAAACAAGAAGAATCCCTGGAGATATCAACACATTGAGGGAGTCCTGCTAAGAAGGTAAGGATGAAGGTATAGCAGGAGCTAAAGACAAATGTGCAAAAATCAAAGAAGACACCTTTGAGGCACCAGCTATTTATATGTTTATTTATTTTAAAAATCAGAAATACTTATGACTATACTCACAACTTTAAGAAAAAGTTAAAGAAAATGGATGCCAAATGATAAAATGACTTCAGTATTAAATCCAAGGAGCTCAAAATTCTTGCCTGGAGAAGTCATCATCTTTGTAAACCAGACAA